TACTAGGAAATCAGAATCTGATAGAGGTCCGAAGCGAAAATATGGTACGCCGGAAGGTAAAGTGAATTTTTTACTACTTAAAGTTCTGAAAAAATCCAATTTATCCCATGCTGGTGCAATTAATTTGTCATTGTGCAATGCTAGAGTATCAGACATTTGTGATAAACATGAATTTACGTTAAATTTTTTGTGTAACCTCGAGACCCGTCAACTGTTTAATTGAGTTACACTAACTGCAGATCATCACGGGAACCGTTAATTCTCAATTTTTATTGGCTGTATCTGACATACATTGCATAGACCTGCATTCAAGTTTGCTCAAACAAAGTGAGTCCTCGCTATGCTTCGGACAATTATTATTGTTCCTTTTAACATCTACCCACAAAATTGACCTAGTCGAGAAGGGATGTATGGAGGCAGTACTTGCAAAATTTTGATAATTGTTAATATTAATCATCACCCCATTTTTTTGAATTATATGCAACGAATAAAGTTTATTTGTTGTATTTGCTTGCGTTTGGATTAATAGAGATCCGTCATCATAGGGATGCACTAGACTAATCTCTTTATATTCAGGATGCTGTTTGGATGTCAAAAAAGTGTTATATTTGTTATCTTGTGCAAAGCACAATAGATTGAATAAAAGAAAAAGAACCGAGAATTTGATCATAATATGCTAATTGCATTAAAAAATTATGCTGATAACTCTTGAATTTATATATTACTGTATTAGCAGTGCGCATGTTGAACGTCCCACTAAAAATTCCTTCTCCCGTAACCTATCCAAACCTTAATGAAGATTGCTTTGATTTAACGTTACACATGATCTTTCTATCTAATTGGATAAAAGTCACAAGGGAGGACTTTTTCTGGGAAAGCAACTATCGCATGTTGAGTGATACGTAATAGTGTTACTTACTTGTTATAGATTATCATTTAGAGTAGGTCATGATATAAGCAGAAACATGTATGGTGCAAGAAATCAATCTCCTTAAAGAGAATTTTAGAGTAGCAATCCGGATGACTATATCCGAATCTGATATTAGATCAGATCAGATTATCCGTTATACGTATCCAGTTGATACGTATTTATCGCGCTTTTCAAATAACTGTGTCTACTGATTTTCATACATCGCACCGGAAATCAGAAATCTAGAATAAATGCAAATCTGTGATTGGTTAAAAATAATTTTTAGCCAATCACGTATTGGCATTTCTTCTAGATTTCTGATTTCCAGTGTGATGTATGAAAATCTGTGGAGACAGTAATTTGAAAAGCGCGATAAAATTTAAAAAATTTATATACGCATATTATCGTTACAATCTTATAGCTAGAGATGTACAATGCATTTTTTTGGCTTTGCATTACAAAATGTAGCATGCATACATTATGCAATCATGTATACTGATAGAATTTCTCAACCATTTGGCATGTGTAAATGCTATCATTGATTGAGCAAGGTGTATTGTCACTTGCTAGTAAGCTTTATGACTTCTGTAGGCAGTGAAAAAATCTCATATTTGATGTTTAGTCTCTGCGGCTATGATAGCAATGCAAAAATCCCATGATTTTGGTAATTAGGCTCTGCAGAGATAGAAATACAAGGACTTACGCATACATTTATGTAGCATTCATGTTGCATTATAGCAACAATTTATAATTCTTTGACTATTTTATCTGTTTTTAGTTTTGCTTTTAATTTCGTATCATCTGAACTTTAATTCTATCCTCTAAGCTTCAAATAAACATCAAGCCATTTTCGTGAATCAGCATCTATGCAATGTTTCATAAATTCTATATAGCAATCTGGAGTTCCAGGAGCAAATTCAAGCAACAATCTTTTACAAATTTTTACTGCAAGATCAAGACTAAATTCGTAACCATCAGAAGGTTTTTGTCTAGTTGATATCTTTGATAAGATGACTTTGAAGCTGTAAATATTGGCAGCTTGCTTAAACCTTTGACTAATAAAGCCTCGGGAGCAGTAAATATATATTTCAAGCATACTGCCTATAAGCATATATAAGAATATACTTTGTATATATATAATTAATTAAATATGCGTTTAATAAACCACACAATAAATTATTAACTTTTAAAAAATCA